TCTCTCTCTCTCTCTCTCTCTCTCTCTCTCTCTCTCTCTCTCTCTCTCTCTCTCTCTCTCTCTCTCTCTCTTACACACACACACACACACAGACAGTCTCCCTCTTACTCACTCGCTCGTTATCCTGGTGTTACTATTTGTTATCTTAATTTGTGTCCCCTGCTCTTGCCATTGTGTGGTTGCTTAACCTTTGGACTTTATGCGTTCCCTTGAACTGTGACTATCCCTCCCTCTTAAGGTTTTTCATTTTCCCTTGAATTTAGTCAATCACAGCAAGTCCGTGAACGTTCTCATGCTTCCTGGTCTCCGCCCTCATCACCTTCTTGTTTTCTTGTCACTGAGCTCTGGCGAATTTTCCTCCTAATTCCACCCTCTCCCTCCCCACATTAGGAGTAGCCTCTAACTGTATTATATCTAACACGATTCAAACTTTCTGCTCGAGACTCGACAAATAAACGAAGAAATGTGGCTTTGAATCCTCTACAGTAAGTGGAGTGAGCTAGGAGTCTCAGCTTCGGGAGTAAACCTGGTTGGAAACCAGCCCTTATGTGCTGACGGTTTCCTTAGGTCTTCACCTGCTACAGCAAAGATCTTATCCCATGAGCGAAGCTTGAATCTGGCAGCATATGCCATCGCCGAAGAATGGCGCAGTATTCTTCTCCTTTTCTGGATTAAGATCACAATCAAACTAGCAACGAAGAGTAGAAATGGGCTGTTTACCATTGCTGTCTTTCACCCCTGCAATACATTACATGTAACTAATCAATGTATGAAAGATTGCCTGCTTGATATGCCCATAAATTTGCGATTGCAACCTCGAAGCAGAAAATATTACCTGCTGCCGTTCCCAGTGGAATTACCCACCCTATGGCCAGAGGATTCTCCAAGCAGCATTTATTGCCCCGTTTCGGAAGGCTCGACTGCAGGATACATATGTACATGTGCAAAGAATCCACCCCCATGGACTCTATGGCCTTGTGAAAAAGATGCTGAAAACCCAACCTTAACCTTTTCCTTTCACCCTGTAGATGGCTGCCTGATAAAACTTCAAATTCGCTACAGCAGATTTGTGTGGCTTTTCATGAAGAAAAATTCCCCATGAACTCTAAACACCTCCATGTTGGGTATGTTCTCGGTTTGCTCCCCTGAGGCAGTGTTGATGATGATTTCCCTCATTGCTTTCGTTTGTGCAGTACTATTTAGTTGACGACACAGTCCAGATCTATGAGCCTGCAATTCGGAACTCAGGCATCGTTGGCGGCAGGTTCTTATCACGATATGCCACAGCTCCAAAGAACGACCTAAGTGGAGATGATTACCAGCCAGAGGATTTGTTTGTTGGACAGCTTCTATACATGTATAACAGGGTATTCCGGCTGGAAGAGGCTGATGAGTGGACCTACAAGTACATGGAGCTACATCCACGTCGCTTCCCCTACTCCCACTATGGAATAGTTATGAACAAAGTATGTGCACCTCTCTCTCTCTCTCTCTCTCTCTCTCTCTCTCTCTCTCTCTCTCTCTCTCTCTCTCTCTCTCTCTCTCTCTCTCTCTCTCTCTCTCT